CTCTTTTGCAATAACAAGACGACGTAGTCCGAGAGTTTTTGATGCGTTTTGGGGACCGTCTTAACAGTTTTTAATCCATCTTCACTAAACTGGTTTGCACGAGGTATACCGTGATTGTACTCGAACTAGTTAGTGTTTTTCCCTTGTTTAACCAGGCTAGTTTATGTTCCTCTATTATTTGCGAAAACTTCTGGATTCTCCTGCCCGAGTAGCTTGTCGAACATCAGCAAACCAAAGCATAGGTATTTACGGAGGAAGAGAGAACTGGCGGTTTACCTTCAAGATACAACGACAGAATGATTCCGCTGGTGAAGTACGTATGAAAACAAGATGCGGGAAATGTAGCAGCGATCGTCTTATTATGATATCTTATCACTAACTCACTCCTGTAGTGTCATTCGAACGGTAAACGTATAGACGGTCTCTCTGGGCCAACTGCTGTGACAGATCTTCGAAATAGATTCCTTTCATGATGAATCCCTCGGACCAACCAATGTTCCAGATTTTCTGCACAGCATAGATCTCCAAAGTAGGCAGCCTAAGGTCAAAAATTTGCAAACCTATATCTTCAGGATACCGCAGTAGGCTTAGCCTAGTACAATCATTACCTTGACTGACAATTGATTGGTTGACAATTGTTTTCCTATTGTGCAACGAGAATACGCTGTTGTTAGACAGACGAGGCAGAGGGAACTGGAGTTCACGTAGCACCATACAACCACTCGGGATCAAGGCAGGGTTAGGTGGTGTCTACAACTTCAACTCACGAGGAGCCTCAAGAAAGCCCGTGAGAACTGGTGGGCAACGGTAGCTAGTGAAATGGAAGTAGCAGCTACATCAGGGAATAGTCAAAGACTGTTCCAACTGATACGCAATACGGGAGGTCGGTGAACCACGGGTGGTAGACAATCTGCGACAAAAGTGGGCAAGTTATTCACAATAGGGAACTAGGGCTTGACTGGTGGGTGGAGCACTTCAACGAACAATTCAACTGGCCAGGCGCTAACCAGGCTATCTCCTCCGATAAAGCTGAGGCTCCGTGGGCAGTGTCATCTGAACCTCCTACTGAAGAAGAAGTGCGTTATTGAATCCAAGCCCTGAAGAATGGAAAAGCAGGAGGCCGGACGGGCTTCCTCCCACTCCTTTCAAGATGTGAGGCAATGTCCTTGTAGACTGCATTACTGATGTAATGCGTGACATCCGGTTACACGAGTGCATTCCATCATCCTGGGGCGAATCACTGATCGTTCCAATTTTTAATAAGGGATCTCGCGATGACTACGCAAACCACTGTGGAATAAGTTTGATCCCAATCGTTACCAAGTTATTAGTAGCCATTATACTTCGCCTTCTGACGCCGTTTAAGGAGACAAACATCCGTGAACAACAAGCAGGATTTTGATCAGGTCGCGGTTGTATCGACC